CAGTGGTACACACATACTCCAAGAAACGGTGGTCTACGGTATGGTTGGAGCGGTGGTGGGCCTATGCTGGACACCGTACCAGATGGAGCCTACACGAAGATCAGAACGCAGCAACAATGGTCGATGCCTACCGTACGAGAGCATGGTGGCTGGAGCAGCAAAAGCGCCCCCTCACAGGGATTAAACACCCAGGGCACATTTACCCGAAGCTCATGAACATGGAAAGAGATATGGACGAAATCACAGGAGGACCATGGAGAGAGAAGACGTTTGACAGGCAGGGTTGGAAGGGGCTGTCCTTGGCATGGTGTGCACAGAAAGACCTCCCATGGGCATCCCACAGACAACTCAGCCTCGCCGATTAGTTGCCAGTGAATAACACGGTCACTATTGGTGGCGCTGGACTATATGGAGGGTTGAGGGTTGAGAGGGAACGGAGCGAACTACGTACCGACATGCTTCGGGCGGTGCATGAGGATTCACTGCCTTGCATTGTTGCTGGATGATGAAGGCGATTGCCTGACGACTGGGCAGCCGTGCTTGGTTCGAACACTTGTGTTCCATGCGCGATGCAGCACCTCTTGCTGACCTACATGACCGGGTGGATGCCCCTTGCATCCCTTCATATACTCCATATCTTTGCGCTCGCTCCTGAAGGGACCGAGCAGCACTACTTAGTCGAAGCAAAGTTTGGCGCATACGCCAGCATACGCCCACGAGGAAGAGAGGCACTTGAGACCCGCAACCCTGGACGAGGAGGAGAAACAGGCATAGTGACCCACTACCAGTTTGAGCTACCTGGAGAAGAAGCTTCGGTGCTACATGGCGGAGGTCGGCGGGTGATGTACCCCCAGGACAACACCGAGGGCAAGGCTCGGGGGCACCGCGAAGAAAGTGAGCAACTCCCTGGAGAAGAACACGCGGCCCTACAGGGAGGAGAACGGCGGGTGGGGCACCCCCAAGGCGACACCAAACGCAAGGTGTGGGGACACCGGGAAGAAAGGGAAGGAAGGGAACAACTACCTGGAGGAGAAGATTCGGCGCTACATGACGGAGGTCGGCGGAAGATGTACCCCCAGTACAACACCGAGGGTGAGGTTCCGGGACACCATGAAGGAAGCGAGCAAATGCCTGGGGGAGAAAACTTGGCGCTAGATGGAAGGGACCGACGGGTGAGGCATCCTCAGGACAAAGCCGAGGTCAAGGCTAAGGGACACCGGGAAGAAAGTGAGCAACTACCTGGAGAAGAAGACCCAGCGCTACATGACGGAGGCTGGCGGGCGTTGCACTCGAAATACCACACCGATGGCAAGGGTCGGGAACGCCGTGAAGGAAACGAGCAACTACCCGTAGGACGAAGTTCGCGGCCAAACGGGAGCGGCCGGCAGATAACCTACCCCCAGGATGACACCGAGGACAAGGCCCAGGGACACCGCGAAGGAGATGAACAGCTACCTGGGGAAGAAGTTTTGGTGCTACGCGGCGGAGGTCGGCGGGTGATGTACCACCAGGACAACATCGAGGGTAAGGTCCAGGGACACAGGGAAGGAAGCGAGCAACCACCTGAAGAAGAAGATGCGGTGCTACATGGCAATGATCGACAGACGAGGCTTCCCCAGGACATCACCGAGGGCAAGGCTCAGGGACACCTTCAAAGAAACCGATGGAGGCAACGCCGCCAGGAGAACGAGTTCGATGAGGTCGGTCTGATGCAACAATCTGGGGATGACGCAGCCTGGCTGGCATTCCTCCGGGCTCTAAGGCGGGAGCTTGAAGATGCGGACAAGCAAGCCAGGCTGAGACTTGCCCAGAGCTTGATATGCCGTCTGGACTGGCACAGCACCAATGCCAGGGAAGGCTACTGGCTCGGACACATGGGAGGCAAAGTGGCGGACATGACGGCACTCCTGGTGACAGTACTTGACGGACAGCAGGCAGACCTCGCCAGCGACCTGCCCGCCATTGCGGAAGGCCTATGGTCGGAAGCGGAGAGATTCCTGCACATGCACCCGGGGTCTAAAAGAAGCCGGGGCTGCCAATGTGATGGGGAGATGCCACAGGTGATGATTTTCTCGCGGCCCGTTCCAACCAATACACCCACAAGCACTGCAAGGGGCAGCCGAGATGAGCTGCCGCCAGCACACGGACGAGAGCACAAAAGACAGTGCATACAGGTTGAGCTCAGCACAAACGCCAGCTGCGGTGACAGGGCGAGGGTCCGCGTGCCCCTCCACGAAGGTGCCGCTACAATTACGCTGCAGGTCACAGTTCAGGATGACGGAAGCAGCGATCAGGAGACGGTCGTGGTGAATCAGGACACCGAGCAGACCGAGCACCGTGTAGACGGGGGGCCCCCGAGACCAGATGGGGGAGAAGAGCGAGGGCAAACGGATGAGCTGGGCCTACTTACCATCCCACGGGCCCTGGCTGCGGCGCAGCTGCTGCTATCACGAGTCACAAAGGGCATGGACGACATTGCACCAATCATCTTAATGGCCCGGGACCAGCTTGCGAGATTGAGAAGGGAAGGGTGGACCCGGAGACAACAGGCGAGCATGATCTACAATCTGGTCCAACGGCGAGGACACGCCGGCTACCTCGACCAGCTACCGCACTACATGACGACCCTCGACCTGGACATGGACGTGGACCTGTCACCGTCATGCTTGCCAACCGCCCCGCCAATTGTAGAGTGGATAGAAGCGGAAATTTGGGATGAATACATTGAC